GGGGCTTAAGAAATAATTAGACATTTTGAAAAAAGTATATTTCAGGCTACATGAAATAAGTCAGACCCAGGAATAAGATGTAGATGCACTACTATAGGAAGGGGTACAAACAGAATGATTAAATCCAAGCAAAATATTAATGAAGAAGCAGAAAAAAAAGAATGAATGACAGTTGTATTATAGAGGGAGAATTGACAGAATTTACTAAATTAATAGATGTACTACCAGGAGGAAGTATATCCATTATCATTTTTTTTTTAATTTTTAATTTATTCTTTAGTTTTCAGTGGACACAACATCTTTGTTTGTATGTGGTGCTGAGGATCGAACCCTGGCCCCATGCATGCCAGGCGAGCACGCTACCACTTGAGCCACATCCCCAGCCCCCCATTATCATTTTTTGTTTTCCTCCTATGCATGACAAGAGCAGATATCAAGGAAAGCCAATACTTTTAGCTATACATAATCACTTTTGCAAATCCTTCAGATGACATTTTTTTTCCTAAGAGAGGAAAAGAAGATTTAATATCTTGTTTTACTTTCCCAAATAAATAACTTTCAATGTGACTTAAATATCTTATTTCAGTAAATGCAAATATATGCTACTAAGATAATATAAAATCAAATTTATTCCCATAAATGAATTTTGTCTAAAAATGATCCAACATCATCATAATAAAAGAAGGAATGAGGGTTGGGGTTGTAGCTCAGTGGTAGAGCACTTGCCTAGCATGTATGAGGTACTGTATTCTTCCCACCATACATAAATAAGTAAATTTAAAGGTCCATTGATCACTAAAAAAATATTTAAAAAAGAAGTAATGAACAAGTTACTTCCATTTACCTGTAACCATGTAATTCTTAAATCATCTCACAATAGGCCCCTTTAAACACCTAGAATACAATTTCAATAATAAATCAATAACAAAGTGGTCACTTTGTCTGTGCTAAACACAATACATGCTATCTCATTTAATCCCCACAATTCTACAGAGTTAATCTAGTATAGCCCTGCATCTTATATTGAAGAAGCAGTCTAACAAAGGTCAAGGCTTGCTTAAGTTTTCATAGCAAGTACAAGAGCCAGGAGTTGAAGCTATATTAGGTTGCCTTCAAAGTTCATGTTCTTCAGTCATTTCATAGAAGAAAAAATACAACTGAACAACAAATATATGGAAAAATTTTCAACATCTCTAGCAATTAGAGAAATGCAAATCAAAACTACTTTAAGATTTCATCTCACTCTAGTCATAATGGCAATTACCAAGAAGACAAGCCACAATATATGTTGGCAGGAAAAAGGTACTCTCAGACATTGCTGGTGGGACTGTAAATTGGTGAAACCACTCTGGAAAGCAGCACAGAGTTCCCTCAGAAAACTTGGAATGAAACCATACCATTTGACTCAGCTATCCCACTTTTCGGTTTATACACAAAGGACTTAAAATCAGCATACCTCAGTGATGCAGCCACATCAATGTTTACAACAGCTCAGTTCACAACAGCTCAACTATGGAACCAACTTAGATGCCCTTCTACAGATGAATGGATGAAGAAAATGTGGTGTATATATACACAATGGAATATTACTTAGCCTTAAAGAAGAATAAAATTATGGCATTTGCCAGTAAATGCTTGGAGCTGGAGAATATCATGCTAAGTGAAATGAGCCAATCTCAAAGAACCAAAGGCTGAATGTTTTCTCTGATATGTGGATGCTGATTCACAATAAGGGGGGGGGTGGGCTTAGGGAAAAATAGAGGTTCTTTGGATTAGGCAGAGGGAAGTGAAGGAAGGGGAGGAGGTACAGGAGTAGGAAGGATAATGGAATGAATCAGAAATTATGACCCTATGTGAATATATGACTACATGACCAGGGTAATTCTACATCATATACAACCAGAAAAATGAGAAGTTATACTCCATTTATGGATGATGTGTCAATATGCATTCTACTGTCATATATAAGTAATTAGAACAACAACAAAAAAGTCCATGTTCCTAATCTATCACTGAAATCATATTGAAGGTTCTTGGTAGAATCTCCAAAAATTGTAACAAAATATAAGCTTCTGAAAAACAGAAACTACAAATCCACTTAGTATTTAGCTATTAACTAAAAGAACTTAACAGTAATGGAGATTCATTCTAATGAATTTAAATCTTAAATGAATGAAATCTTAATGGATTTAAATTCATGCTAATGATTTAAATCTATTTAAATCTTCTGTGTATAATTTTCATGCTTTCTATCACTGAGTTACAGTAGCAGGTGTACACAAAACGTTGCCAGAACAAGTGATGACCTAAATTTAACTCCCAGTGCTACAAGCTACTGAATGGCATTTATGAGTCATAGGCATCCAAAATGTAGATAAATGTGCTGCCCCCTAGTGATTTCAACACATCATACCTAATACTAACCCTCACAAGTCAGTAAATACTTTCATTATTAGAGAACTGAGTCAAATCTTCATTTCATTTGCCAGAAATTGTCTGACTTCTATAATAAGAGGAATAGAACAATTATTGTTTAGGCCAGAATTTGGGGTGCTTAAGAGCTTATAAATAACGTAATAGGCTAGGTGTGGTGGCGCATGCCTCTAATCCCAGAGACCAGAGAGACTGAGGCATAGGATCACAAGGTTAAGAACAGCCTAGTCAACTTAGCAAGACCTTGTCTCAGAATAAAATATAAAAAGAACTTGGGATGTTGCTTAGAGAGCACCCTGAATTTAATTTCCAGTAAAACACACACACACACACACACACACACAAAATGGTGGCTAATAAATATTCCAACCTTGAAAGCTTACCAAATTCTTTTTTTTTTAAAGAGAGAGAGAGAGAATTTTAATATTTATTTTTTTTAGCTTTCGGCGGACACATCTTTGTATGTGGTGCTGAGGATCAAACCCGGGCCGCACGCATGCCAGGCGAACGCGCTACCGCTTGAGCCACATCCCCAGCCCCCTACCAAATTCTTAAGAGAGCCAGGCACTGTGGCACACTTCTGTAATTCCAGCCACTCCAGAGGTTGACAAACAAGAATTGAAAGTTAAAGGCTAGTATGGGCAACTTAGGGAAACTTTGTCTCAAAAAAAAAGTTATTAAGAGAGAATAAATTAATTTCATTAAGTAAGACAAAGCAGATTCCAAAACAATGAAGTATTCACTAAAGTCAGAATAAAACTTGGTTTAGACTCACCCCTGAGCCTCTGAAGGCATTTGTGAGGCTCTCTTTATGTATGACTACTAATATAACTTGCCTGCCAATAATACAAATTAAATGTATAAAATGAATTTGGACTTGGAGAATGAGGAAAGTTAAATGACTTCTAAATAATTTTGATTAATATCAAATAAGAGATATAATAAAGCTACTCCTTACTTAGCCATAGTAGTCAGTTCTTTCAATCCAAAAGTTCGAAAATGGAAACCTGCAATATCCAAACAAGTCTTAAGAAGGAATAAAATGTAATAGCTTTGTAATTATTATTTATCTATGTACTCTCCAAGACAAAAGCAGGCAAAGGCCCTTCAATGCTGCAAGAAGCAAGCTAGTCTAATAGCCAATGACAGCTGGGTTAAGACGTGAGTGGGCTGAGGAACTCATTCCAAACCTAAGTTAACTGAATGTCTGGATTGACTATGGGTCCTGTTCTAAACATCCTATCTTTTTAGTATTTCAAACTAATAATAATTTCCTCAGAAACAACTTGAAGACTCCCCAAATTAAGCAACTGGTCCAGGGGTCTTTCTGTCTAGAGGCAATATGCACCTAAAGTAGATGTTATGGGGAGGTACCCAAGAAATCTTTATAATCTGAAGAAACTGAGTTAGACCCTATCAACCTCTAAAGAAGCTATAGATAAAAACATTTGGGGCATTCCAAATAGCATCAACTCTGAGATGCACATCCAAGACCAACTACACACCTACATAATCCTTATCATGAGGCTGGAAGAACTGCAGGTAGAACAGTAGACAAAACATTCCTAGTGTAAGACCTTAAAAGTCTCAGAGTTAGGCTTAGGGATAGGATTAGGGTTCTTTTTCCCTCCTTATATTTATAATTTTTTCCTACTTCTTTCTGTTGATTCTTACCACTTTCCTAGAGTTTCCAGTTGTTCTATTTTCATTTTACATTTGAATTATTTTAAAATTCCTTCTCTCAGGACTGCCTAGTATGCATGAAGCCCTGGGTTTGATCCCTGGGACCACCAAAAAAAACAAGAATCCTTTTCTTAGAGTTGAGCTTGGTGACACACACCTGTAATCCCAGCAACTGAGGATGCTGGGGCAGAAAGATCACAAGTTCAAGGCCAGACTCAGCAACTTAGAAAACCCTTTCGAAATAAAAAGGGCCCTGGCACAGTAGCGCATGCCTGTAATCTCAGCAGCTTGGAATGCTGAGATAGGAGGATCACGAGTTCAAAGCCAGCCTCAGCAACAGCGAGGTGCTAAGCAACTCAGTGAGATTCTGTCTCTAAATAAAATATAAAATAGGGCTGGGAATGTGGCTCAGTGGCCGAGTGCCCCTGAGTTCAATCGCTGGTACCTCCCCACCAAAAAAAAAGGGCCAGATGTAACTCAGTGGTTGAATGACCCTGGGTTCAATCCTTAGTGTACACACACAGATTAGAACTTTTTTCTCTTGGCTCCTTCCTTCCTTCCTTCCCTCCTTCCTTCCTTCCTTCCCTCCTTCCTTCCTTCCTTCCTTCCTATTTTTAGTTGTTGATAGACCTTTATTTACTTGTATGCAGTGCTGAGAATCAAACCCAATGCCTCACATATGCCAGGCAGTGTGATACCACTGAGCTCCTGCCCCAGCCCCTCTTGGCTATTTTAACTAAATATCTAAAATATCTAAATATCTAGAAACTAAATATCTAACTTATTGGTACAAAAGACAAATGTATTAATAACCAAGTGATTTCAAGAATATAAAAGAAGAAAATCATATACTTCATAAAAACCAAACAAAAGATCCATCTTACCAGTATCATTAGCAAGGGAATTAGGATCAGACCCCCCAAGGGTAGCTTCAAACTCCTCTTGGAGACGATATGCTCTTTGTAGCAGAGCTTCAAGTTTATGGATGAATTCAGTACTAATAATATCCTACAAAGAGAGAATAGAACAAATTAGATTCTAATGTTAAAATTCTAAACATAGAAGATGTTTACTTAATGCAGGCAAAAAGCAGGATATATAAATATATAAAACTGTTAGTTAAGCATGGTGACACATGCCTGTAATGCCTATAATTCTAGTTACTCGAAAGTCTGAGGCAGAAACAAGTTGAGGCCCATGTCAGCAACTTCGTGAAACCCTGTCTCAAAAAATAAAAGGGCTAGGGATGTGGCTTAGTGGTAGAGTTCAATCCCCAGTACCGCCAAAAACTAAAATGAAAACAAACACCAGCCTACTGTTAGGCAGTAAAAAGGGCGCTATAGAAATCATGAGGCCTGGATTCTAGTTAATTTGGCAAAATTATCTCAGTTATCAGGGATTGAGTTTCATTATCTGTAAAATTGAGGAGTTCGACTAGATCAGGGGTTCTTGAATAAGGTCCCTGAACCAGCAGCATAATTATTAAAAATGCAAATCCCATGATCCACCTCAATTCTACAGTATTATAAACACTGGCCATAAATCTGTGTTTTAACAACTTCTCCAGGTGATTCTGATGTATGCTCAAGTTTGAGAACTACTAATCTACCTAAATGATCATTAAGGAACAATCTAGTTTTACTTCTATGTATTATTTACTTTTATGAATTATAATAGCATATAATTAAACCCAATGCACAAGACAGATTTTAAAAAGTTCCTTTAGAAATCTTATTTGCTAGGGCTGGGGGTGTGGCTCAGCGGTAGAGCACTAGCCTAGCACAGGCGAGGCCCTGGATTCGATCCTCAGCACCACGTAAAAATAAATAAATTAATTAAAGATATTGTATCCAACTACAACTAAAAAAATAAATATTAAAAAAAAAAGAAATCTTATTTGCTGAGCTGGCAATAGAGCCCAGTGATAGAGCACTTGCCTAGCATGCTTGAGGTCCTGGGTTCAATCCCCAGAACTGCAAAAAAGAAAAAAAAAAAAGAACATTTCTGTCTACTTAACTATCCTAGGAAAGTAAGAAACTTGATGAATGGCAACTAACTGAACAGAAAACACCCAACAAGAAATATCCCACACAATCCCAAGAGAATGATAAAAAGGTCCAGTCGATGCCACTGAAAGCAGATACACTGAATCAACATTAAAAAAACGTTTGAGAGGCTGGGGGTGTAGCTCAGTGGTAAAGCGCTTGTCTAGCACGCATGAGGCACTGGGTTCAATCCTCAGCAACACATAAAAACAAATAAATAAAATAAAGGTACTGTGTCCAACCACAACTAAAAAATAAATATTAAAAAAAAAAAAAACAGTTTGAGGGCTGGAGCTGTAGTTCAGTGGCAAAGCACTCGCCTAGCATATGTGAGGCACTGGATTTGATCCTTAGCACCACATAAAAATAAATAAAATAAAGGCATTTTGTCCATCTACAGCTACAAAAAACAACAACAACAAAAAAAAAAACCAGTTTGATTCTTCCTCATCAATAAATCACCCTTACATCTACACTTTCTTCAGCAATGGCATCCCCAGCACCCAGTTTAATGGAACCGCAGGCTTCATCTTCAGCCTGTCTATTGCGAAAGGTTAGAGCTTGTTCCCATCGACGCAATGCCTCTTCAAACAATTCCATACCTAAAAGTAGGAACACAATAATGGTAAGTGAGTAAGACCAATGTCAAAATAAAATTATTTGGGGTCTGAAATGTTTTCATAGAGTTATCTTCAATAGCACAGTCTAATGCAAATTTGGCATTAAAGAATAATTTTATACTCCTATTATTTCAGAGTAGGATTTAAATTCCCCAATATACTGAGTTTGCAGTTCAGTTCTAGTCAATCAAAAATCAGAAAAGAAAATGGCCAACTGAGAATTTTTTTTAATATTTATTTTTTACTTGTAGTTGGACACAATATCTTTATTTTATTTATTTTTATGTGGTGCTGAGGTTTGAACCCAGGGCTTTGCACATGTCAGGCGAGCGCTCTACCACTGAGCCACTGGGGGGGTGGGAGAGGGGTGGGGGGGTGAATGTACACCTCTTTTTCTCCAAGTTAAAAAAAAAAAAACATGCTGGCCAAAGTTATTATGCACTTCAACCAAAACTAAAATATATTAAAACTTCAACTTTTCTGCATTAAGAAAAAATATTTAAAAGTTCCTTAAGAATCTGGACAAGTCATACTCAAGATTTTTTTAGAATATTTACATAAAGACTACCTCTCCTCTAAAGGCATTTCTTTAATCATCTGTAGAATGCAGAACATGAAACAAAATCATCTTCACATGCAATGTAGAACTTATCCTTGTTTGATTTTTCTGTAGCAAATATCATGCTTTTGATTTTTTCATTCTAAAAATCTTATGCACTTAAAAGATAATTGTAGGTGGATTGAGTTGTAGCTTAGGGGTAGAGCACTTGCCTCACACATGTGAGGTCCTGGATTCAATCCTCAGTACCACATAAAAAAAAAAGCAAGTGAATAAAAT